AGGACTACAAGGGAGGAGGCTTTGGAGGAGGAGGAGGGTGGATAGGACGACAAGGGAGGAGGCTTTGGAGGAGGAGGAGGGTGGATAGGAGGCGGGTGGATAGGACTACAAGGGAGGAGGATTTGGAGGAGGAGGAGGGTGGATAGGAGGAGGGTGGATAGGACTACAAGGGAGGAGGCTTTGGAGGAGAAGGAGGGTGGATAGGACTACAAGGGAGGAGGCTTTGGAGGAGGAGGAGGGTGGATAGGAGGAGGGTGGATAGGACTACAAGAGAGGAAAGTTTGGAGAAGGAGGAGGGGAGAGGATTACAAGGGAGGGTTTTTTATAGGAGGAGGTGAGTGGTGAGGACTACAAGGATTGGCTTTTTCTAGGAGGAGGGTAGCGAGGACTACAAGGGAAGTGGGGTTTGCATAGAGGTAAAGGAGGATTGTGGGGGTCTTTGGTGCTCCTTGAGCTTGGTTGTTTTCTTGCAGACGTTTCATGACCCAACTAGGAAATATCATCAGTGTTAAGAAGCAGTGGAGTTTGTTCTTATTTTTTCATTTTTTTAAAAAAATGAACCAACTCCACTCCCTCTTAGACCTGGTGACGTTCCCTAGTTGGGTAATGGACCGTGGGTGGGGGGCCCACCCCCCCCCCCCACCAAGCCCAGCCGCAGTGACCGATGTTCTCTCCTTCTGATACCCCTTCAACGGCCTTTTCTCTCTTTCCTGAGGAAAGAATCCCCCCCGGATTGCGCAATGGAGTCCCGCCCTCAGGCCCCTCTTCTCCCTGAGCAGACTTTCGACCGGGAAGTCAAGCAAAACATGGCCGAGCTTTCGCTCTGGACCGTCGTGGCCGCCATCCAAGCGGTCGAGAGGAAAGTCGATGCGCACGCCAGCCGGCTGCTCAACCTGGAGCGCCGCGTGATGACCAACGAGAAGAAATACGTGGACTGCGAGAACGCCGTGGTGGACTTCGGCAACCAGATGGAGTGCAAGCTCTCAGCCCTGGGCACCCTCATCCAGGAATATGGGCTGCTCCAGAGGAGGCTGGAGAACATGGAGAACCTCTTGAAGAACCAGAACTTCTGGATCCTCAGGCTTCCCCCGGGATCCAAGGGGGAGACGCCAAAGGTGGGAGGATTGGGAGGAGAATTGCTCGGTTTTCCTGGCGGGGGAGAGTTCGCAACGATGGGAGAACTTCTTACTTTGGAGGGGGGGTTAGAGGAGTTGAAAAGGGACGTGGCCGGCCAGTGGCTAAGACTCCGAGCTTGTCGATCAGAAAGGTCGGCAGTTTGGTGGTTCGAATCCCCAGCACCATGTAACAGTGAGCTTCCATTCCTTGTCCCAGCTTCTACCAACCTAAGAGTTCAAAAGCGCATAAAAAATGCAAGTAGGAAAATGGGGACCTCTTTGGCGGGAGGATTCCTCCGTGCGCCTTCGGCATTTAGTCCTGCCAGCCACATGACCACGGAGACGTCTTTGGACAGCATGGGCTCTTCGGCCTTGTAACGGAGATGAGCACCGCCCCCTAGAGCTGGAAATGACTGGCACGGATGTGCGAGGGGAACCTTTCCCTTTTTAAAGGAATTGAGATGGGGAGGGGGAGAGCTTGGGGTTTTTCTGGTGGGTGTTTCACGACCCAACTAGGGAGAGGAGGAAGAAGACGAGGAGGAGGAGGACTGTGGGGTGCTAGATGCTCCCTGAGCTCGGGGGTTTTCTTGCAGAGGCCCTTGGTGCTCTCTCAGATCTCTTGTTTTCTTTCAGACGTTTCATGACCCAACCAGGTAACATCATCAGTGCTAGAAGGGAGGAGGAGGAGGAAAGATAATCTGGGCAAGAAGGGAGTTTGGGGGGTTGTGAAGAGGAGGAGGACCCCCATGGGGTCCTTGCTGCTCCCTGAGCTTGGGGGTTTTCTTGCCGATGTCTCATGACCCAACTAGGTGACATCATCAGTGAAGTGAGTGTGAGGGTTACTCCCATTTTATATTCAGTACTTGCCTTGCCAGAGGTTATTTAAATCTGACTTTTTTCAAAGATACCCAACTGCCTCCAGCAGAATTTAAAAAAGCCTTAATCGAGGGCGTCCATTTGGACCCCAAAACAAAATGGCCTCTTTCTGTTTTCAGATTTCTGTGACAAAGCAAGCTCAGCCCCCCCCCCCCCCAGCCTTCACATCGGCCTGGGCTGCTGTATATATAGGTCATGCTAAGCTAGGCTTATTTTAAGCCTAGATTGTTGGAATAAGGTGGCCTAGAGGTGGAGCTCTCACCTCACAATCAGGAGTTTGATCCTAGGTAGAGGCAGATATTTCTCTCTCTGGGTACAATGAGAATAATATTTGCTGAACAAAACTGCACTGGTGACAGGAAGGGCATCCGGCCAGTAAACACACTGTGAACTCCATTCAGTTGCCCAGATTCCACCCCACAAGGAATTATGGTGTCGTTAAAAGAAGATGATTGCTGGAATAAGCCACAGTTGGCTGGCTTAAACCCAAAATGCCAAGGTGTCAACTGAGAGTATCCGTTTTAATAGGCCAGACTTGCCCATTGTGTGACTCCCAAACTCCAACCACGTGTTAAGCTTTTTACATGTGACATGTCCCAGCAGCCATGTTCTAACTGACTTTTCCAGTTGTGGAGCTTTTAAGGGTCATTCGAAAGGGCACAGAGGGGAGCAAAATGTCAGCCCCTCTGCTTACGGTGGCTTTTGTCCAATCCTAACAAGTTGTGTGTTTGAGATGTTGGCTGGTTTGGCGTTCAGTCTCATCCCATCATTGATCTTGAGTTGAGGTCTGCTCCGTCTGAAATATTCCAGGAGCTTGCGAAGGTCACTGCTTAAGTAGACTTAGTGGCACCTGAGTATCTGAGGAACTTGTGCCTTCAAGGGATTGAGATTCCTCCATCTGATGAGACGTTCTCCTAAGTCTAGGTATCAGCAACCTGTGGCTCTAGAGCTGTATGCGGCTCTTTGGGCCCTCTACTCTGGCTCCCTGTTAGGTGATCCCACCACTGGCTGGTCCCGCCCCTCACCCTCCTCTCCCAGTCACTCCTTGCCTGGCCTGAGAAGGTAAAACACAAAAAACAGAAATGAGAAGGCGGGAGAGAGGGAGGGAGAGACACACACATGCTGTCAACTGATAAAATACTTCTCTGGACTTTTTAGAGTTGCCAACAGAAAGGGGGAAGCAGTGCGGCAGCTTGCAGATCGAAAGCGCATTCCATAAATGTTTTCAAAGATAGTAACTAGACGACTGAAGTTTCTGCCGTGCAAAATTCTAACTGGAGAGCATGATTGATAACTCTTGGCTACGGATGTGTCCCATTGGAGAATATTAATTATGATACACCTAGGGGCTGAGGGGAAAACCAGGGTCAAGGGGGACAATGAATGATGTGCCTCAGAGTCCGCTACACCCAGGCAGTGCCAGACTTGTTAACTCCCAATAAATTTTGCTTGAGACTCATGATTTAAATGAGATTAAGTGCCAGAATCCTGACACACACACACACACACACATTTCCCACAGAAAACACCGGGAGCCACAAAACCTGGGTAGGCGTGGCAGATGGGGTCATGTGACTGGGTGAGATTGACGTTGAGTTGGCCACGCCCAGCCAGGTTTTGTGGCTCCTGGTGTTTTCTGTGGGAAACAGGTCCAAATGTCTCTTTAGGGTTGAAGACCCCTGTTAGGTGTACCTCCCATCCTTTTAGTTGAGGTGGAGGAGATGGGCAACCTGTCCCTCCACACAATGCCAATTTTTGGAGCGCTGGGTCGTCCATCTGAGCACCAATAGCTCCTTCTAGAAGATCCAAACCCCATTAACCAATGTGCTTTCAGGTGCCCATGACTTTTGAAGACAACGCTGTCTACTTCTCAGAGCAGGAGTGGGGCAACCTGGAGGAATGGCAGAAGGAACTCTACAAGAACGTGATGAAGAGTAACTACGAGTCACTGGTCTCCTTGGGTAAAAAACAAAATCAGCTCTTGCTCCTCGTGGGTTGTAAACATGAACCTTGGCTTCCTTGATTGAGGAATCGTCTAAATCAGAAATCTCCAACTTTGGCAATTTTAAGACTTGCGGACTTCAACTCACGGAATTCTAGGAGTTGAGGTCCGCAAGTAGCTAAGGTTGAAGAGCCCCCTGGTCCAGATGACGGCCTCCTTCCAGACTGGTCCCTAGAAGTCCCTCAGGAGAACATCTGGAGAACATTTCCGTGATTTCCACTCTGATGTGTCCAGTTCTCCTGTTTGCTTTTAGTTTCATTTTGAAGCTCTATCCTGGGTTGTTACAGCTCTTCAACTCTCAAACTTGTTGAGAAAGTCATAATCAGGATGAGCTGTTGGGGAGGAAATGGAGCTTAATGTGAAGTTTGACAAACGAGAGGGTGGGATTGCCCATCAGAAATTATTTTAACATCTCAGCGTTTTTGCAATTGAATACAATTTGGAAATTGTAATTTTCGGCATCTCAGAGGAGGGATTTGTAAGACGATAGGAAGCAAAGGATGGGCTGATTCCTCCTTCTTGTGCCTGAACCACCTTCTCAGTTCCTATTGGATTTTCTTGTAGGGTTCGGTTTTTATTTTACAGCTAGTCCTCAAATTAACCACAGTTCATTGAGTGACCGTTCAAAGTTACAACATCCCTGAAAAAAAAAGGGACTTAGGAACCTGTTTCACACTTAACGACCATTGCAGGGTCTCCGTGGTTGCGTGATCCAAATTTGGACCCATGGCCACATGATTCACTTTTGTGACCAGAGAAAATGAGGTGCTTTACTACTCAACTGTTTTTTATTGTTACGGGAAACAGGAAACTCAACTTAGATTTTTCATTCTGATCAAGCTTATCTTGCGAAGGATGTGGTCTTTTTTCCAACAGACTATGCCATCGCTAAACCAGATCTTCTGTCCCGGATCGAGCAAGGAGAACGTCCCTGCGCTGAGGAAGAGGAGGCAGCAACAACAGACAGAGTGATACCTTCGGAACCCAGCCCAGGTAAGAAGGAAGGGGCTAGAATCAGGGGTCTCCAAACCTTGCAGCTTAGTGGACTTCAACTCCCAGAATTCCTTGGCCAGCCTCTCGGCTCAACCCAGCAAACAGGGTGCAAAACAGGAGGCAGGATTGTTAAGTCTCGGTAGTCCTCAGTGTACGACCGGTTGCATAGCAACTGCAAAATGATGGCAGACTTGGCAAAGTACGCGAACAACCCGGTTTTGATGGTCAGTCATACATAGAATCGTATGCACGATTGCATTTTTGGCACTCAGCACCTGGCCTGCAGTCTTGGGACCAAAATTTACAAGGCTTTTGCCCCAAACGGGCATCTACAGGCAGTTCTCAACTTATAACCCTTCATTTAGTGACCATTCAAAGTTACAACGGCACTTGAAAAAGGAACACACGACAATTTTTCACCCAACCGTCATCGCATCCCCGCCATCAAGTGATCAAAAATCAACTGACTCAATTTTATGATGGTTACAGTGTCCCGGGTGTCACGCAATCCCCTTAATCAGTGTTTTTGAGTCATTTAAGAACTGTGGCAAGAACGTTCGTAAAATGGGGCCAAGCTCACTTCATGTGCTTAGCCACAGAGGTTTTAGCCTGAATTGTGGCCGTAAGTTGAGGACTACCCATAAAAGAATACCTGCAGTGAGTTTTACAATCAAACGGCCTTGTTGGCTTTGAAGGAATGCAGGGAAGAGCAGGACAAGGCAGCCCCGAGCCCCTCTGGCTTGGGATGGCTTGCCAGCAGGGAGGCACAGGGGCAGGATGACCAAGCAGTGAAAATGAGGCATAGCGGAGTTCAAGCGTTGGACAAGGATCGCCCCCTCGTGATTCCTGAGCATGGAGAGCGGAGAGGAGACAGGAACAGCGCAGGCAGGGATGGAGGGCTGCTGGGGTAATAACTGGTTCAGTGATCGCGTGCTTTATGCCCGCACGCACAGGAATAGCTTTCTAATAACACTTACCTGCTATGTTACTACGGAGGAGTAATACAGCTGAGAATCAGCTGAGAGGGTATAGGCAAGTACAGCGCAGGGGTAAGCGGGTGGACCCATATAATCACCGGAGCAAACCGGTTTGCTGCCAGGTGATCGAAGGTTAGGGGTTCGCCTGAATGGGTTCCATCGGCTAGAATCCCACCCCTGAGTGGAGGCCAACCCAACAACTCCAGAGGAGAGTGCCCCCTCCCCCCTCTTCACAAGACACACCTGGGGACTGAGATTTAAGGAGGGGCTGCAGGGCGGGGCATTTGTCAGGAACAAACATGGAATTTGTAGAGTTGTGTGTGCACCATTGCTGACATCTAGCATTTGGAGAACTGCTTTCTTCTTCCTTGCTTTCTGGTTTCATTTCTTTGTTCCTTTGCCTTGCTGCGCTTCTTGTTTTGTACTAGCAGTGTTCGCTGGACTGCGTGTAGCCAGAGGCTGGTATGTGTGTGTGGGTGTGTGTGTGAGAGAGAGAGAGCTTTGCTCTGGGATTTGCACAGTGGTGTGGTATAACAACTGATTTGGTGAGCGCGCATGCTCAGGGCTTAAAAAAGCCAGTTTTTAACTCTAATACTTACCTTCTACTGCAGCCCCAGTGAGTAAAACAGCTGAGGCTCTGGATGTGCTAAACAAACAGGAAATAAAGCACAACAAAGAATGGGGGGGGGTAAATATTCACCAGAACCGCTAGCTCGTGCAAACCGGTCGAAACCCACCACTGGATTTGCACAACATGGGAGCGTTGGGGGGTGGGGAGTTGAAGCATGAAAGGGAAGTTTGACCTGTCGGAAAGGTTCCCTTCGTGCCTTGTCCCGGCTCATCATCACAACCTCTCTGTTATGTCATCCAACACAGAAATCCTGGTTTTTCGACCCTGCCTCTCCTCCCCAGCAGAAGGGGGTCACAGCCAAGAAGGGGAACAGGGAGAAGGACGGAGAGTCCCACAGGCATCCAGCGTCGGTAAGTGGCAGCTAACCGCGTTGGGAAAGTTGAGGTATTTTTTGGGGGGGGCGGGTCTGCAGGCCCAAAAAAGGGGCTTTGTGCCAACAAGCATCTCTCCGAATGCCGATAAAATCTTCCTTTCGGGTTTCCCTCGCTGATCAAGATTTTGCGATACATGGGAAAATTCTGGATGTGTGGGAATGGAGGAAATGGTATAAGAAAGAAGGGATAATAAAATAATAAAAAGTCCCTTTTATAAGAAAGGGACGCAGTGGCTCAGAGGCTAAGACGCTGCGCTTGTTGATCAGAAAGGTCGGCAGTTCGGCTGTTCGAATCCCCGGTGCCACATAACAGAGTGAGCTCCCGTTCCTTGGCCCAGCAACTTCTGCCAATGCAAGTAGAAAAAGGGAGCAATGTTCCCTGCGCCTTCGGCATTTAGTCATGCCGGCCACATGAGCATGGAGACGTCTTTGGACAGCGCTGGCTCTTCGGCTTTGAAACAGAGATGAGCAGCGCCCCCTAGAGCCGGAAACGAGTAGCATGTAGGTACGAGGGGAACCTTTATCATTATGTTATAAGAAAGAAAACATGCTTTCTGTTTTAGAAAAACATTGAACACAAAATATATTACAATACAGCTCGTCCTCGACTTACAACAGTTGGTTTAGTGACCGTTTGAAGTTACAGCAGCAGTAAAAGAAAGTGGCTCATGCTTGTTTTTCACTCTTAACGAACATTGCAGCACACCTCCGTGGTCCAGGCATCAAAATTCAGACGCTTGGCAACTGGTTCATATTGATGGCAGTCGCAGTATATCCCCGTTTGCGACATTCTGACAAGCAAACTCAATGGGGAAGCCAGATTCACTTAACGACTGTGTGACTAACTTAACAAATGCCGTTATTCACTTTAACAGCAGTGGCCAGAAAAGTCGTAAAATGGGGCAAAACTCACTCAACCACTGTTTCACTTAGCAACATAAATTTTTGAGTTCAGTTGTAGTCGTAAGTTGAGGACTTACGGTAGTATGTAAGAGGTAGTATTCCTCTTACAACCATTCACTTTAATGTCTGTTCGAAGTTACAACGGCATCCCAATTTTCACAATGTCAGAAAAACATTGAATACCAAATATATTGAAATAGTTGAAGAAAGGCAGTTCTTGAGTCATAGCCATTGGTTTAACGGCGGTTCAAAGTTACAAGGGGACTTGCGACCGTTTTCAGGCTTACAACCACTGGGGCCTCCCCCCATGGTCACGTGATCAAAATTCATTTACCACAGCTGCCAGGGTCTCCCGGGGAAGCCCGATTTGCTTAGCAGCTGTGGGACTAACGCAGGGAATCGGCAACCTTAAACACTCAAAGAGCCATTTGGACCCGGAAAAATAACATCACCAGAAGCCACAAAACCTGTGTGGGCGTGGCCAACTCGATGTCACTCACTCCCACCCAATCACATGACCCCTCCCTAGCCATGCCTACTCAGTCACAAAATCCTCTCTCTCTCTCCCCTTCTCTCTCCCTATCTTCCCACCTCTCTATCTTCCCCTCTTTCTGTATCTCTTTGTATCTCTGTGTCGTATCTCTCTGTCCCTCTCCCCCGTCTTTACCCCTCTCCCCCTCTCTCTGTATGACTCTCTCTCCCCCTCTCCCCCTCTTTCTGTATATCACTCTGTGTGTGTTTATATCTTTCCCCCCCTCTGTTTCTCTCTCTGTGTCTCTTTCCGCGGCTGGGCCAAGCCAGCTCTCTTGGGGCTCTTGGCTATGCCTTTTATTTCTTCTTTGGGCGACACTCCGTCTACCCCCCGTCCTTCTTCTTTCATAACCCCCTGGCCAGCTGTGGCAGGGCCGGGAGGGTGCGCACAGGGAGGGAGACCCTCCTTAAGCGAGCAGCTGACTGCAACGACTACGGTGATTCACTTAAGTGTGGCGTGGAAGGTCGTAAAAGGCGGGGCGAACTACCTGAAAAACTGTCTCGCTTAGCAAGGGAAAATGAGTTCACTTGCGGTCGTTCTGTTGTGGTTGTTTGGTAGTTAGAAAATCCGATTCCTGCTAAGGGAGGCCGCCGCGAAGAGCCTTGCTTTATTCTTGGGATGCATGCAAGGATGCGGGTGCTCGGCAGGATGAGGTGCATGACCCCAAACCAAATGACGAGTGTCGCCTTCTCTTCGGTTGAACAGATGACGAAGTTGCCCAGACGTCCTTCAGGTCTCAAGGGAAGCGAGATCTGGAGAGGACCATGGAGGCCGCCCCAGACATCTCGGACAAAGGCGAGCTTCACGTCCCGCCAACTATGGGTGAGTTTCTTGCTGGACAGAACCACGATTGTTTTTCATGTCCAGAGATGCAAGAACACCGAGGACAGCTCAAATCCTGCCTGCCTTTCATTTTGTGCCCCTATATTCCCCCTCCCCCCTCCTGTCGCAATCGCCGGGCTCGAACCACTAGAGGGTTCCCAGGTTTGCTAAAACTGAGGCCCGTTGGCTGTCATTCGAACTCTGAAAAAAACTCCCTTTAGGCGGCCGGGCACGCTTCTGAATGCAGGCAGTCCTCGACTTACGACCATTCGTTTTTGTGACCGAAGTTTTGACAGCCTTGAAACACGTGACTTGCAACTAGTTTTTCCACATTCAACGATGGTCGCAGCCTCCCTGGGGCGATGGGATTGCAATTCAGACGCTTGGCCGAGAGTTCCTATTTATGACGGGTTGTAGCCTCCTGGCTGGGGATCATGTGGTCCCTCTTGCGATCTTCTGACCAGCCAGATGCTGGAGTCCCTTAAGAATCATGTTCCTACCTACAGTGCCACAGGGGTTTGAACACAGTACTGCGGGCTACTTCTGCTGATCACCGTCTGCCAGGAGTTTGGCAGTTCGGATCTCACTAGGCTCAAGGTTGACTCAGCATTCCCTCCTTCCGGGGTGGGTAAAATGAGGACCCAGATTGTTGGGGACAAGAGGCTGGCTCTGTGAACCACTTAGAGAGGGCTGGAAAAGCACTGTGAAGCGGTATATCAGTCTAAGTGCTATTGCTAAGTGCTTTTTGGTGCTAAAAGGGATGCGGTTTGAATCCCTAGCCGCGTAATGGAGTGAGCTCCCATTACCTTGTCCCAGCTTCTACCAACGAGCAGTTTGAAAGCATGTAAAAATGCAAGCAGAAAAATAGGGACCCTTTTGGTGGGAAGGTAACAGCGTCCGTGCGCCTTCAGCGTTTAGTCCTGCCGGCCACATGACCACGGAGACGTCTTCAGACAGCGCCGGCTCTTCAGCTTTGTAACAGAGATGAGCACTGCCTCCTAGAGCTGGAAACGACCAGCACATATGTGTGGGGGGAACCTTTATTGCCACCTGGACTCCTGCAGGGATTCACTGAACAATGGTGGCAAGAACAGTCATAAAATGGGATGTAAACCCCACCCCCGGCTCCATTGTGGTCGTACGTCGAGGATTACCTGTATTCCACTCAGCTGCTGGGCATGGGGCGGGGCTGCATCTCCTCACCCCCCCCCCCCCAATCTGGGAGTCTGATTATTGATGCTTTGAGGCTAGCTGCAGTTTTCCTCTTTCCAGCCAGCAGATTTTCTTCTTAGGTTGTCACCGTTAAACTTCTTCCTTCCAGGTTGTCCATCCGGCCATCTGTCCATCTGCTGTGGGGAGTGGTCTCTGGGGCTTAATGCAGGGGGCAGTCGTTCTTTCTGCTGCTTTGTAGGCCAATTCCCACCCCCATCCTGACCCCACATCTCCTGACCATCTTCTATCTAGACCAAAGACTCGGGAGGCGAGAATCCTTTGGCCTGGTTGCGTCCCCGTCCTCGGTGTGTCTGTCTGTCTCTGTGGTCCGTTGCCAGCTTTTTCCTGTTTCATGTGAATTCGTGGGAGCAAGCTCGGGTTGCGCTAGTTTCCTCTGGATATAGGGAGTCTTTGACTTAACAACCATCCATTAAGTAACCGTTCAAAGAAAAAAAAAGTGACTTACGAACAGTCCTTTCATTTACAACTATCCCAGCATCCTCTCGGTCGTATGATCAATATTCAAGCATGTATTTGCGACGGTTGTAGCATCCCGTGGGGGCGGGTAGGGGTTTGTCGCAGAATTGCCTATTTGCGACCTTGCCAACTGGCTTCTGTACAGGAAATGGGGGAAGTCAGATTTGCTTAATAACCACATGGCCTGCTTAACAACGGCAGTGATTTGTTTGACAACTACGGCCCAAAAGGTCTTAAAACCAGGCCTTTGGCTCAGTCATTTTGTTTAGCAGCTGAAATTCTGGTCCGAATTGGACTCATAAGTCGAGGCGTCCCTGCACAGGCCAAAACTTTCTGGGTGCTCTTTTCCCGGCGGTCGCTCCTGGGATGCCCATCGCGATGTTTAGAACTCGTGTCCAGAGGTGTGGCCATCTCCCTAACCAAGGGGTCTCCCAACCCTCGGGTCACGGCCCACTGCTGGGATATGGTCTGTTTAGAACTGGGCCGCACAGGCGGCAGGCAAGCGCATGCACGCATACGAAGCTTTTTCAAGTGAGCGGCAGCCACCGCTTGATCTCGCATGCCAAGCTCCCGCTTGCCCAAGTGCAAGCGCCGGAAGCTCCCTTTGCTCGAGCAGCAGTTGCGAGTGCTGACCACTGGTTCAAAGGTAATTGCGTGCTCACACCTTTAACTCACAAGGAACTATTCCCCACTGGGCCGTCAAGGTTGGGGAACAATGCCCCTAACCCTCAAGAGGCACAACAGATGATGATGATTCAGTCACCTTGGAAGCTTTAGTGTTGATGGGCAGTCCAAAGCAAAGAGGGTGGACTTACTTTCACAATTATGCCCAGAGTGTATTTACCTTCCTCCCCCTCCCCCCCAGACCAGGTGAGGACGGAGGAAGGAGTGGGTCTGCGTTCCCAAGAACAAGCTAGTAAAAGGCAATCTTGTTATCCGGGTTTAAGTTGGGTGCAAAAAAACCCCGGAACGATGCCATGAGACAGTCCAAGCAGCTTGTTGATTGCCGCTTGCCTTTTGACAAGAATCTTGCCAGACTGACCGCATTCACGTGGAAAGAGGCAAAGAGAGGCTTTGGCAGTCTTCCACTACTCTAGCTGAAGATTCTCCCCTCTCCCCCTCCGGGATCCCCTCCCCCATTGTCCTCATTCAATCCTTTAACTTTCATGGAAGAAACTGAAGCCTCTTGGAGTTCACATCCATCGTCAGGAGTTGACCAGATTCGCTTTCTGACTTAAGGGTGAATTTCTGCCATTCCTTTCTACCCCATGGCCCCTTGCCTTGGGCTGAGCTATTTTTGATGTGGTTTTGCTGCTCAGATGCTGTGGTTGAGGGGGAGTCCCTTGTCTTCGGCTGCTATGGCTACCTGTGGAGAAGAGAGCCTAGATTTGGGTCCAGTGGTCCCTGAATATTTTCCACTGGTTGAGCCAAAGTGAGTATGGGGTTTCCCCACTCAGACCCCACAAGTGTTCCTTTGCCTGCCGTTTGCTCTCCTCTGACATCTTGTAAAGCTTCCTTGTAAAATATAAACCCTGATCTGTTGGGCCCAGGATGAGTCACGCAGCTGTATCCTAATCTATTAAATCTTTAAATCTGTCTATATATATAAGTGAAAGAGCACCCATGCATCATCACAAAATCCCCAGAACTGTCAAGCTTACAAACTTGTAATTTGGTACATATGTTCCTCTTGGCTTCTAGGAGCTCACTAAAAAATGATTTTTCGAAATGACCATCGGAGCATAGAATATTTCATTAGTCTTTCTTATACAGCAATTAACACGCTCTGATGCTAAGGAGTTCTACTTCCCTTCCCCACTGGAAAAGAAATCTCTTCCAAATGCAAAACACAAGCAGAGGAGAGGAGTTTCAGTTTTAGTTTCACAGCACCAAGCAGCTTTAGTCCAGAATAGTTGAGCTAAGCCACGCCCAGGCTCCTTGCTGTCTCCTTGCTCACACAGCAAATACTGTTTCAGTTTCCAAACAGCCCTCAACACTCACACACACCAACAGGACGCTAAGCCAGATGAATACTAATGGATGCTGGTAGGCAGAGGCAGAATTTCCCCCCCACCTCCTTATTTTCCTCCCAAAAACCTAAGCCTGACCACATAGTTTCGTAGCAAAGCATGGGTATCGAGCTAGTTTTACGTTATTTATTAAATAAATAGATAGTCGAGTGACTCTCACGATAATTACAGCCAAAATGAAACCATAAATGCATTCAGATGGCTTTGTCCCAACCTGCTAAGCCAGGGGTTCCCAATCCTCAGGCTGTGGCGCACTACCAGGCTGTGGTTTGTTTGGAACGGGGCCACATGAGTGGCTGGTTGGCATGCACGCAGCTCGACTTGCGCGAGTGGCCGGCCGATGCAGGCGCATGTAGCTTGACTCCTGTGAGCAGACAGCCAGTTCCCCTCTCTCCTGAAACCATAAAGGTTGAGGGCGACTGCGCTAAGCCACCCTCTCCATTCAATTTGGGGTGGGGGCAACCGATCCCTGGGATGGAGACCCCGAACGCAGGTTCATCTTGGGAGCAGGGACATCTGGGCGTGTCCTCAGGGCAGAGCAAGCGGGAGTTGATGGCCCCGGAGGGTGGCAGGGGCCAGAGGCAAGGATGGCCGAAGAGGCTCCAAGGTAGAGACTTCGGAGACTGGGCAAGGCTGGTTTAGAGGCCACCTGGACCTGGGCTGGCAGGAGCAGGTCAGTGAGCTGCAAGGAGCCGCTGAGAGAGCAAAGAACTTCATGTAAGGACAAAGCTAATCCCCTTTCGGACTTTTTCCCCCGATGCCTTGGGATGGGGGACAGAGGACGGCCACGTTGCTTCTCTCCCTTTCATCTTTCCCTATTTGAGACTTTCTAAAACATGCTTACTTGCTTGCCCTCTGCTCTGGGAACACAGTCACGTTCCCAGACCGGGTGGGGTACGATGATCCAGGGTGAGGGTAGACAGTGATGCCAACGATGCGCCCATAAAGTGAATCCTTTATGAATTACAGGTACCTCGACTTATAACCCTAGCGGTGTTTACCGGAGAGCCTCAGTCCTCCACGTCAGGGTTATTCCAGAAATGCTCTTTTTCCAAAAGGCAACTTGACTTTCTGGAGGTGTTTTTTTTTTTAATCCCTTGAAAGCCTTTCGCTTCTCATCCCAGAAGATTCTTCAGGGTTGAACCAAAGAAGAAAATGAAGTTCAGCGAAATGAAAAAGCTTCTGGGATGAGAAGCAAAAGTTTTAAAGGAAAGAAAGCAAGAAAGTCCAGTTGTGGCCTTTGTCATATAATATATGCGGGGATATGCATTATGTATTTATTTATTTTGTCATGTTTAGGTTGTGTATGCTGGAGGTGGTGACCCGTTGAGAGCTGTGTGCAACGAAATTTCATTTTAATGTATGCCAATTCAGGTACATTTAAAGTGGCAATAAAGTTTGTTAGCTCAGCTGATTCACGTGGCAGAGCAGGTTGCTGCGCCTCAGCTGAGCTAAAAAACAGCTCACCTCACTAGAGTTGATGCAGAGCCTGGTGTTTTCACAAGTCCTGTGGTTTTCAAGTCTGCACAAAGCGAAGCGCGCTCTCATGATGGAGCTGGTAGGAAAAAAATTGGAAACCCACCACTGCTTCCCACCCAATGTAGTTCTACACCCTCCTCTTCCCCAGTTTATCTTTTGACAATCTCTGGAGCTCCGTTGCTCAGGTCAGGGATGGAGGACAGGCTGCTCCACGGCTGGGCCGTGTGGTGTGATCCAGGAAGCGGCCTCCACAGGGAAGTGGATTGGGAGTGATCCGAAAATGCGGCTGCTTCTGAAAACGCGCCTTGCGGCCCAGGAACAAAGTGGTTTGCTTTGCTTCGTGAATCGTAGCTCCGGAGATCATCGAAAGTTAAGTGGACAACGGCTGACTCATGGTGAGGAGTAGGGTGTAGAGTACCCTAAGGTGGGATTCCCCTGCAAGGACCCAGAGGGGTGGGAAATGTAGCATGGGGTTCCTCCAGCTGTAGAAGTCCTTGGTAGGCCTGGAGCAGGCCTGTGCTAGAGCTCCCAAGGCACCTACCACGTGCTCGGCTTAACAAATCACATGGTTGTTTCATGGCAAGCAGGGTCATCTTTGAGGCGATCATGTGGGTGCTTCACTTAACGTCCATCATGCAGGATCTATTACGCTTGCAAGTTGAGGACTACCTGTCTATCCAACAGTTTTTGAAAAGCAAAACTCTCAACACTAAAGGGAGCTTTGGGAATGGTTGGCGGAAATTGACTCCCTGCTGGGTTATTTTGGCGTGAGCAATCGTTCAGAATTCAACACAGCAGGGTGCATCAGCGCCCCCCAGAATTGGCTCCCATTCTTGAAAGGGCTACTTCGGTTCCCTCCCATCGTGCAGAGCCAGAACTGGCTGCATTTCCTTTGTGCAGAAGGAAAGCAAACCAGGCTCGCTGCAGGGCAGGGAAGAGGCTGGGTTCCCTCATGTAGCATGTGGGCAGGCGGTGCTGCAGCGAGGTTGGAACGCAGGGGTCTTTCAGCCGTGCACAAAGAGGGTCCTCCTTAGCCCATTGACCAGGGCAGCCCGCTGGGTGGATAAGGCCGTGTCCGTTGGGAGAAGCATGCCCCATGACCTTTTCTTTCAATCCCCCCAGATGACGGGCTGGCCTTCAAAGCCGAGGTGCTCCAAGCTCAGCGAGCGCTGTGTGAAAGCTTGGGGCTCAAGTGCACGGACGAGACGCTCCTCCACGCTCACCCGCAAGCAGCCTCCGTCGGCAGCCGGTACTTTGTACAACAACGAAGGCACGCCGAGAATCCCGGGCAGGAAGAAGAGGCTTTGGCCGGAGAAGGCAGCTTCGATGGTCCGGACGCCCCGACAGATTCATGTGACCGCCCGGAGGACAAAATGTTCGTCTGCCCTGACTGCGGGAAACGTTTCCGCCTTTACAAGAGCCTCGTGTGCCACCAGAAAAGCCATGCTGCAGCACCGGCGGCCTGCGAAAAGAGCTTCACCTACAAGCAGCAGTTCACCCTGCACCAGCACATCCACACCGGGGGTGGAGGATATACCTCGGTGGCCTGTGAGGAGACCTTTAAGCAAAGCCATAATTTGAAGCCCCTTCCTCGGGGGCCGGGAGCAGACAAACCGTACGGGGGCGCCAAGTGCATGAAGACTTTCAATGTCAAATCATCCTATCGGCAGCACCCCAAGAGTCATGGGCGTGAGCGACCGTACCGCTGCAGCCGGTGCCCGGAGAGTTTCTCCCAAAAGAAAAGCCTTGTCACACACCAGCGGCTCCACTCTGGGCGTGGCGGCAGCTCCTTGGCCTGCCTCTATTGCGGCAAGAACTTCAGCCATCCCTCAGACCTGGTCCGGCACCAGCGCATCCACACTGGAGAGAGGCCCTACCGTTGTGATGAGTGCGATAAAAGCTTCACCCAGAAGCAACATCTTCTCCAGCACCAGAAAATCCACCTGCGTGAGCAGAACAGGCTGATGGGTACAGCTGTCCGGGAAGCCCTGTTGGACGCCATCTTCATTTAGTCCAGTCCTGCGAGGACACCAGGCTACCTCAAAAAGGCATGTCCTGGACAGACTCCCCCTCTCTAGCCTGGGGTTCAGATTCCCAGACATTGGCACTCCATCGTAGCAAGGACATTTTTGTACGGGGTTTCTAACTATGCTTCCGAATGGCAAAAGCTAAAAAAAAGGGGTAGTAGCCAAGGACTTCCAGGATTGTCGTTTCGGTCTTCTTTGCAGTGTACAATACTGTAGGTATTGTGTTTTCCCCTAACCACAAGGTCTCCACGTCAAAGTCCTGGAGACGTGGCGACTGTACAGAGGCGATCTCTTGGTTCGCTGTTGGGTGAACTCAAATGGGTCTGAGCAGGACACAATTTTTTAAACGTATATTTTCTGGATTTCTTTTTTTTCTTTGTTGTTCTGTGGAAACTTGAGAAATAAACTAGAGATGTGAAGAAATGGCTTTGTGTGTGGCTCTTGTTTTCCCCCCGACTGTGAATCAGAGCTTGGGGGAGGGGGGGGGCATGTGTGTTAATTTTTTGATTATGTAAAACTACCTAGATGAACAGGAGCATCTTATCATCATCATCATCATAATTTAATGCCCCCCCCCCCCCATCCTTTGCAGGGTGGAGTCTGGGCAACTGAATGGAGCTACTAAAGTGGTTAATGGCTGGATGCCCTTCCTGTCGCTGGAGTTTTGTTCAGCAGATATATTCTCATTGTGCCCAGAGAGAGAAATATCTGCCTCTACTTAGGACTGAACTTGCAGCCCCCTGATGGTGAGGCAAGAGCTCCACCCTAGGCCACTGTACCACTTGAACAGGAGCATCTTATACCTAGGATCCTTTTCCAAAATAAATGGAGCGCTTTATTCTCTAAACACTTAAAAAAACCAATAGATGTATTTAAAACAAATCGAAACAATTTAAGGAAAACTGTCGTTTTCGGAGGGATGGGTAGGGGGGGAAACGGCTTAAATTAAGCCATAATGTGACAGCCATAAAGTAACATTTTTCCTACTGATGTTTTCAGCCTGGCAAATTTGGAAATGGTTCGGTCTGAAAGGTTTAGGGTGTTGTACAAACCAGTTATTCTGGCTTGTCTCTCTCAGAGGAAGTTAGAGTCCTGGTTGCATTACTGGCTAAACAAGCCGTACATTCTTTCTTTGGCTCCCAAATTGCCGGGATCTGCTAGTTCAGGAGTCTGCAACCTGTGTGGCTCCGGAGCCACATGCGGCTCTTTCACTCTCTGCTGCAGCTCCCTGTTGGCTGATCCTACCAGTGGTTGGCCCCCTCCCCTCCCGGTCACTTCTCACCTGGCAGGTGGTGATGGGTGGGAGTGAGTGACGGTTGAGTTGGCCACGCCCACCCAGTCACACTGGTTGTTAAATTATTGACTCCCAGTGTTTCTTCTCTGTGGGAAACAGGTCCAAATGGCTCTTTTGAGAGGTTAAGGTTGCAGCGCCCTGTGGTAGTTAAAACCCAAACTAGTGAGCAGAGCCACATGTGAGTTGCAGCGTGACTCCAGCCAGTGAAATAATTGCAAATTGTGTATTTTGAATGAACCTTTTGATCTGCTGCAAAATCTTTGCGTCTATCGTTTTCAAAAGGCCAAAGTGGGACCTTAAATGCCTATGTTGTATCCACCAAAATTGGTGCTCCTTTAACTCTCTGGTGTCCTTCAATGTTGGTTCTGGAGGACGGGAGACAAACTCAGAAACAATATAAGCTCCGAGTGCCGCACTCGTTTGGGGGTTTCCTTGCAGACATTTCATAAGCTACGTAGGGAACAACATCAGTGCTTGAAGGAAGGAGGGTGTTGGTTAGGAGGAGGAGGGCAATGACGACTATGGGGTCCTCGATCCTCTCTGAGTTTGGGTGTTTTGTGGCAGACGTTTCATGACCCTACTAGGTAACAGCATCAGTGTTAGAAGCCTAACATAAGTCTTCTGACATTGTTGATGTTACTTATTTGGGTCATAAAACGTCTGCAAGAAAACCACCAAACCAGAGATCACCTAGGATTCCACAGTCCTCCTCCTCCTCCCCCCGCCTTGTTCGATCTGGGTTTATTTCCTCACCATCTTTTCCCTTTTCCTTTTTTGTATTGTTACATGTTTTCAAATGTTCCAAGTGTTTTTTGTAACAATTTGTAAACCGCTAGTAGTTGGGCGGCCTGTAAATGTAATAAATTACTATTGTGGTCCTCAAACGAGCTGTCCTAGTCTGAGAATATTCATCCAGCGGTCCTCGTGCGCCACCATCCATAAAAGTCAAGCACAAGATCCTAAGTTCCTTGTAAAATTGGGAAGGCCTTTTCACTTGTATTTGCTGGGCGTGATCTACATTCAGCCTTGTAGTATCCGGGTCTTGTATTCAAGAGCGCTATTTAGCAAAAAACACCCTTTAAATCCTTCGCTCAGAATCCTCTTAATGTGGAATTAAATGCCTGCCTGGTTTTTTTTTTGTTTTTTTTTCATTCACCCCAATTCTTCTCTTTGGTCTTTTCCATTTTCACTGCAGAGTTTTGGGTTTTGTTGAATCCCTTGACGTCATATCTCAATAAAGGATTGTTGATGGTTCCCCAGCATTGTTTCTCAGGAACTTGTAAGTTGTGTGGATTTCAACTCTCAGAATTCCCTGACTAGGCATGCTAGGAAATTCTGGGAGCTGCATGCCACATATTTGAAAGTTGTTGAGATTGAGAAAGGCTGATTGATGTGAATTGTTAAATAAACAAAGCATTTTTTTAAGAAGATGGTAGGGTTCGGGGCACCCTTTCTCAACCCTTTCAAGATGGGTGGACTTCCAGCTGGGGAATTCTGGGAGTTGAAGTCCACCCGTCTTAAAGTTGCTACAGTTGAGAAGGACTGGTTTGGGTGTGTGTGCTGTGCATTCCTATGTGTGGTGGGACTAAACCATAACGAATGTTGGGTTTATGCTGTCCTTATTTCCTGCAGCCCTCGCAACCAACCACATCTTAATCAAAACGGAGCCAGACGACGACTCTGCAGCCCATGAGACCTGGATGATGGCGGGAGAGACATTTGTGGAAAGAATTATAAAGAAAGAAGAGGACTTCGATTCCTGTATGTGGCCAAGGGACTCTCCAGGGGAGACAGCCGACTACAGTGCCAACGAGGGCAGTCTGGCGGAAGAAGCAGCTGCTCATGTCCGCCGGCAGTGTCAGATTGGCCGCCAAGAGCGCCCACAAAGTTACAGAAGTCTCACCCCTTCGGGGCGAAATCTCTCCTTGCCACTCGTGAATGGGACCCCTCTGATGTCACCTCAAGAGACAGGGCAGCCATCTGCCGGTCCGCCGGGAGAGAAGCTGTGGGCTTGTCCACTGTGCCACCAACGCTTCCGACTCCACGTCCACCTGCTGCTCCATCAGAACACCCACCGGGAAGCGCCTGCCGAGCCTGTGCCGAAGGACCCACTGGGCTGCCCCTACTGTCCCCGGCGTTTCGGCCGCTCAGATCACCTGCTACGTCACCAGATGAGCCATACGGGCGCCCGGCCTCATCAATGCCCGGCATGTGAGAAGAGCTTTACAGACAAAAGCAAGCTGACCAATCACTTCCGGACCCACACGGGAGAACGCCCCTTCCACTGCACAGACTGCGGGAAGCACTTCGTCCGGCGGCACCACCTGGCCAAGCACCAGCGCACCCACACGCGGGAGCGGCCCCACCAGTGCCCGCTCTGCCCGAAGAGCTTCATGCAGAAGCACCACCTGCAGAAGCACCTCCGCACCCACACAGGAGAGAAGCCCTACAAGTGCGGCCTGTGCCCCAAGGCTTTCGCCTGCAAGCAGCGCCTGCTGCAGCACAGCTGCACCTTGCCTCCGGTGCCCCCCTCTGAAACCGCCGGGCGGCCCTTGGCCCTCCTGAAAGGGACGCCCACTTCCTGACCCACTGATGCAACCGGGACTTCGCCCCACCTCACCCCCCTTTGCTGGGGCCATTGTAGTTCCGCTTGACCGTCATTCAGATGCAGAAATTCAACTCTCCAGGTGCCATGTAGCTTCCCTTCTTTGTGGATTATGTTTCTAGGGAAATCAGGCTGACGAAGATTCTGTTCGGTTGGACAGAAAAAAAACAAACAAACACTGATCATCCCTTGAAGGTCCTGAATCAGCCTTTGATCAGCCCTGGAAGGTCCTCCATCATCCTTTGATCAATTATTGACAATCCTGAGTCAGCCTTTGATCGGAAGGTCCTTAAGCGTTGGGTCAAATGTGGTTGACCGATCACCTTCATCTTCATTCAGTCTGTGGCCAACTCTGCGTTTCATTGTTTAAGAAGGTCCCAAAAGGAAGTGGACCTGGAAGTGAACCGGGCAGAGGCTGCTGTTTTTTGAAGGCTTCCTTGGAGGCTCATCGTCGTGAAGATGTGACTATTAGATCAAGGAAGGAATTCCCTGGTTGTTGTGGACTCTGTTTTGGCTTTCCCCAGGCAGATCCTGGGCCCGTCTGCTCGGAAACCCAAGTTTGAAAAGTGGAATGGCTTGCCCCAGAACTTGTGGATGGTCCATCAATGGAGTTTTTCAAGGAGAGACTAGGCCTCCATTTGTCCAGAATGGGACAGTGTGTCCTGCTCAAGCAGAGGTTTGGAGTAGAAGACCTCTGCGGTCCCTTCTGACTCTCGTTATTCTGCAATTCCCAAGTAAACAGAACAAGACAGGATTTTGATGGGATCACTACTGGACTTCCTGAATTCTCTGCAGCTTTCCCACCCCCTCTTTATTTCAAGGCCCAAAAGATGCCGTTCGTATCTCAGTTGCTTGCGTCGCCTCCGAGACCTTGTGTTGGAACTTGGTTGTTGGGATGGGGAGAGACACAGAAAGGAGCCGAGGAGGAGCCAAAGTGTGATTAGGATTATGTTGGTTTTTTTTCATTATGCTCAATTTCTATGCTGTTTTATAAGCGCTGTTGTAACTCTCGGAGGAAAACTTCCCCAAAAAAGCTGAAACTTGGGGATGGGTGGGCCGAAAGAAAAGTGTTCTTTGCTTTTTTTCCCTTCTTTTTCTTTTTTAATTTGTGTAAAGTCTCTGCTTTCTGTGCTCCCTCTTTTCCCTTGATTAAAAAGTTAAGATGAGCTCGTGCATGCGAGGAAATGATAGGGTTTTAAATTTTTTTTTTGTTCTCCCCGAACTTTGGTCAGGCCGTCAAAAATCAAATCTTCACAAAAAGAAGAGAGAACCTTAAAATGCTGGAGAACGAATATTGTACCCAGTGAAGCCCTGCTGGATTTATCTATACATATAAAAGCGAAATATACCACTCGCGCATCATCACAAACTCTCCAGAACCATCAAGCCTACAAACTTGAAATTTGGCCCGGATGTTCCGCTTGGCTTCTAGGGGCTCACTAAGAAAGGGTTTTTCGAAAGGACCCTGGGATCATTAGTATTTCCTTAGTATTTCTTCTACAGCAATTAACACGCTCTGATGCTAAGGAGTTCTACTCCCCCTCCCCACCTGAAAAGAAATCTGCTCCCAAGGCAAAACACAAGCAGAGGAGTTTCAGTTTCAGTTTCAGTTTTAGTTTCACAGCACCAAGCAGCTTTAGTACAGAGCAGTTGAGCTAAGCCACGCCCAGGCTCCTTGCTGTCTCCTTGCTCACCCAGCAAATACGGTTTCAGTTTCCAAACAGCCCTCAACTCTCACACACTGACAGGACGCTAGCCAGATGAATACCGATGGATGCTGGTAGGCAGAGGCAGAATTTTCTTTTCCTTATTTTCCTCCCCAAAAACTTAGCCCGACCACATAGTTTCGTAGCAAAACATGAGTATCCAGCTAATTCATTTATATACTGCTTCAACCCCAGTTCATTGTTGCATTCAAGGCCCCTTTTGTTATGGGTTTTATTTTTTCTTGCAGTCCTGTGGGCTAGTGGCCTGAAAGACCATGTTTTCCCCAGGGAGCTTCCATGGATTTCAATCTCTGTCTTCCCTGTTCGGTCAACTGCTCTGTGGCCACCTATTTTGACCACTGATGGCCCACCTTGTTGAGCTTGGAAGGCAGCCTTAGATCTGGGGCTATCTCCCAGAGAGTAAAGATCAGACAAGATACAAAATTCAAGTTAGTTACAGGGAAGACAGAAGAAGGAAGGAGGGCAGTGAATTTATTTGGGTGGTCTGTAAGTATAATAATAGCAATTAAACAACACATGGACAGACTGTACCATAGTTTCAAGTGGGAAACTTGAGTCGTTACATTCCGAAACACTGGAGAATTTCTGGTCATTTGACACTTAGAAAAATCGGCCATTGACGGGCACACTGAGCTAAAAGACCTTTACCCACCCTTCAAAACTGACAATCCAAATGCTAAGAATGAAACAAGATCGAAACATTAATGACTTAGATGAGGAAATAGAAGGGGAACTTACCAAATTTATAGATGATACTAAGCTGGCAGGAATAGCTAACACCCAAGAAGATAGGCTCAAGATCCAGATGGATCTCGACAGACTTGAACCCTAAGCCCTATCTAACAAAATGAAATTCAATGTAGAGAAAAGTAAAGTCTTCCATCTAAGCAAGAAAAACCCAAAGGACACATATAGACTGTGTGAAACCAGGCTCAATAGCCGTAACTGTGAGAAGGATCTTGGAGTCTTAGTGGACAACCAGCTAAATAGGAGCCAGCCGTGTGCAGTAGCTGCCAAAAAGGCTAACACAATCCTAAATTGCATTAACAGAGGAATACAATCAAGATCAAGGGAGGTACTAATACCACTCTATAAAGCCTTAGTAAGACCACACCTAGAGTCCTGCATCCAGTTTTGGTCACCATATTATAAGAAAGGATGTTGAGACTCTAGAAAAAGTGCAGAGAAGAGCAACCAGGATGATGAGGGGACTGGAGGCTCAAACATACAACGATTGGTTGCAGGAACTGGGCCTGGCTAGTCTAGTGAAGAGAAGGACCAGGGGAGACATAATAGCAGTATTCCAATATTTGAGGGCAGGAGGTTGGACTAGATGACCTACAAGGTCCCTTCCAACTCTGACTTTAATCTGACTTTAATTATCAAAATGACCAGGGCAGACAGGAGAGAAGTCTTCCAATATTTGAGGGCCTTCCACAGAGAGGAGGAGGAGGTCAAGCTATTCTCCAAGGCACCTGAAGGCCAAACAAGGAACAATGGATGGAAACTGAACAAGGAGAGATTCAACCTGGAAATAAAGAGAAACTTTCAGACAGGGAGAACAATCAACTCATGGAACAGAAGTTGCCCTCGGAAGTTGTGGGAGCTTCATCCCTGGAGGCTTTCAAGAAGAGGCTGGACTCCCATCTGTCAGAAATGGTATAAGGTCTCGCATTTGGGAGGGGTTGGACTAGATGATCTAGAAGATCCCTTCCAACTCTGTTAACCTGTTAAAAAAAAAAGGGAAGAGTCCGCGAAGATGCCCGGAGGCACGAACAGGTAGTCTTCGACTTACAGTGGTTTGTTTAGCAACTGTTCGAAGTCACAAAGGCACCGGGGGGCGGGGACGATGACTTATGACCAAGTTTCACACTTACGGGCTGGGTAAGCCGCCCTGTGGTCACGGGATCAAAATTCAAAGATGCTTGGCAACCGGTTCATCCTTACGACGGTCCCTCCACATCCCGGGTTCACATGAGGTGAGTGCAAGATGCCTGGATGCTTGTACGGGAAGTCCTGGACTTCCAACGGTTCGTTTAGTGACTGTTTCAAAAGTCACAATGGCACCAAAAGCAAGTGACCAGAGGATCATGACTCCCACTTATGACCTTTGTAAATTCACGGGATCGAAACGCAAGACGCTGGTTTGGACTTAACAATGGTCGCTGCATTCCTCCGGGGGTGGGTGGGGGCTTGTCACGCAATCCCCTTTGGCGACCAGAGTCAACTTCATGACTGTTGATCTTGACTTTGATCAACCGTGGTGATTTGCTGTGGACAATGGCGACAAAGGACGGTTGTAAAACGGGACAAAATCTGTGGAACAGAAGGTCTGTCTTGCTTAACAACACACCCATTTTTGGTCGTATGTTAAGGACTATCTTTTCTAAGTGCTTCAGGTCAGGTTCGAGGCAGCAAGGAAGGTTGTAAAATGGCACAAAACCCGTGGAATGAAGCTCTGTCTCGCTTAAGGACAACACAACCATTTTCGGTGGTAAGTTGAGGACTATCTAGCATAAGTCATATGTGGAGGATTATCTGACGTTATCTGGTTCGAGGCAATGCTCCTCCCGGCCGCCAGAGCGGCGCCTCAGTCGGAGGTCTCCCGCAGAGACGCTCTAACCGCTGCGCCTCGGCTCGCTGGGCCGGCGCATGCGCGCGACGCAGCCAGCCTTCCGAGTGTGCGGCGTTGCGGCAGCCGAGACAAAGGCGGCCCCCGCGGGAACGTCCGGGCGGGGGAGGGGCGGGCGCGGCCAGGTAGCGCAAAAACGGGGGCGCGCGGGGGGGGGGGGGGAGAAGGGTTGGGGAAACGGGGGCCGCGATTCCCGAGGGAGGAATGGGGAGAGGGGGAGAAAAATCTACGGATCGGGAGCCAGTCTCTCCTCGGCAACCGGGCGCCCTCCGTCTGTCTTCCCAGAATCCTCCGCGGCGGGCATAGCGGGGGTGGGCGATCCCCTTCGGTAACGAGGGTTAAGCCAGCCTACAAGAACTGGGGGTGTTGTTTCCCCTGCAAGACACCCCCCCGCCCCCCAAAAGTGCGGGAGCGGGCTCTTGTAGAAAGCCTCGAGGGGTCCCCGGGTGCCTTTTTGCGCCGAATCCACCGGGCGCGATCGTGCCCGATTGTGCCAGGCGGCGTGGCCTCTCCCGGAATCTCCCATTTTTGGCTGGGGATATTTTTTTTCTTCGCCTGGCTTCGCAGGTCCTCGCCTTTGCGTCCGAATCCAGATACCCCCCCCCCTTTCTTTTTCCGGGAGTCCCGCGCTCCTTTGTCCCCCCCTTTTTTTTGGGGGGGGGGAGAGGGTTTCAAGGTTTTAAAGAAAAGGGTTTGTCCTAATGTTTCTTCCAAGGGCGGGGCTGGACTAGAAGACCTCCAAATCTCCCTGGCTTAGCCTTCTGTAAACGATCTGCCCCGGGAATGTTTTTTTTTTTGTGGGGGGTTGGTCGTTGAGCGAGGCATCAGTCACACTGATGGATCATCGGCCAAGAAAAGGAGGGTCATATGTAGGGTTTTCCTAAAAAAGTACAGATTTGTTTTTTCAGCCTTTTTTTTTTTTCTTGTGTCCCTTTAACAAACAGCTCAAAGGTCTAAGCCTCGCCCGGCGGTGCCCTTTGGTTTTTGCTCCGCAATCCTTTCCGTTAGCGGGTTGATCTGCGCTAGAAAGAGAGGTAGGTATCCTTCGTCTGTGGGCTATTTTTTATATCCTAGGTGATTTCCAGTTTTTCCCCTCCGACAATCCTGTAACATAGGCTAGATGAGGGAGTGAAGTTGAACTCGGATCTCCCTGGGCCTTTTCTGTCAACATAAGTTGCATGGGGGGAGGGGAGAGAGAGACAAATTCCTTGTGTATCTAATCACACTTGGCTAAATGGAGGTATTGGCAGGGCGTCAAACTGGTGGCCCGCGGACCAGATGTGTCGCATGCAGGCCACCCTTCTGTGAAGGGGAAAAAACATTGCAAAACATCGCATGACGGAAACGTGGCGCCCCGAGTTTGACACCCGTGGAGTAATCTGTTCTAGTCTATTAAGCAGAGCATTCACAACTGCTCTCAAGTCTTTTGCCATTGGCCATAATGGATGGCCGATGGGAGTTGTAATCCCCCAGTCTTTGGGAGCATGCCAGTGGTGGGGTGGGGTCAGATAATTAGACTGTGTATTTTCTGAGTGAAGAGGGTTAGAAACTTGATGTATGGTTATGTGGCCATGGTAATATGCCTTTTCTAATGTTTCCTGAACTTTAATGAGAAAATGTCCAGCCATGAGGACTAGAAACTTTGCCTAAACCAGGGGTCCCATCATCACCATAGAGTCTCCTAGCACAGTGTCCTTTTTCCTCTACTTCTAATAGAAAGCCCTATCAATTGTGGAGCCAACAGCAGCAGGGAGCCGCAGCAGAGGGATGAAATAGCCACATGCGGCTCCAGAGTCGCAGGTTGCTGACCCCCTGGTCTAAACAGTGGGAATTGGAAAACGCAGGCAGCAGGGGTTGGATGACAAACTTCTCAAGCAGATGGTTAAATCTTAGCAGCGGGTGACAAGGAGCCCAGTTGAACTTTGCAGTTCTTGAAATGATGCATGTGTGAATTTGGTGGAGAAGAATGGTGTGTGAATTCCTCTTTTCCCTCTAGCCCAAAAAGCAGGGTTCAAGACCTCTGGGTTGGCTTCCCTTCCTTCCTAAGAGACTTCAAAACCAGCGTGGGATGGAGAAATGAAGGTCAGGAACTCGGAAGCATCTGGGTCCGCCATGTCTGCAGGAGAAGCCACGGAGGCCGCAATGGATCCCCCCAATGCCCAGTTGCTCCATCTGGAGCAGAGAATGGTGGCGGCCGAGCAGAAGTGGATGGGCTGTGAGAAAACCGTGATGGAAATGGGGAGCCAGCTGGAGAGCAAACTGGCCATGTTGGGGACCATCTTGGAGGAGAACAGTGTGTTGCAGCGCAGGTTGGAAAACCTTGAGAGCCTGTTGAAGAACCAGAACTTCTGGATCTTGCGATTTCCTCCAGGATTTAAAGGAGAAGTCCCTAAGGTAACCTCTGTCCCACTGGAGTGGCCTGATCCAGAGAAGAGTCGGGACTCAGCAAAAATGGTTTGGGAGGAGGCTACAAAAGCATGACAGGATTTGTAGATGAACCACCATCCATAAACTTTAGTTCTGCCTTACTGCGAACGAAACTATGGAATTCAGTTAGCATTATGGTTTATCTCTCCCAAATTACGATGAGAAGCCAGGGTATCTATGCAGTGAATCTCAGTTTGCTCTTGATTTTGGACAAGACAGATTAGCTAGTTGAAAACAGGAACATCATCCACTCTCCAATTTATGACTGGAAGGAAAAAATGATGACAGATGGGGTTATTTTAAATTTTAGGCATCTTCAGATTCCGTAGCTGTAAACCACGGGTGTCAAACTCATGCTGTCATGTTGATGTCATATGACATTTTGTGATCTTTCTTGCTTTCTCGAAGCAGGGTATGGCCTGCATGTGATGCATTTGGCCCGCCTGTTTAACACACCTGTAAACCATAGTCCGTCAAAGAACAAACCGCTTGCTTAAAGGCTGGTAATTTTAATTTTGCCCAAAAGCTGCCCAAAGTCGGTAAGAGTGAGTGGTTGGCCAGACAAATTCTCTAAATATATCAATAAATACTTTGCCAGCTAGAGGTTTCTGAGTTTTTAGAACTGAAGTGAAGATTAGGATTTCACTCAGGATCTAATTTGAAAATGCAGAAGGGAAATGGGGTTGACTTGATGGAAGATGCACAGTGATTTCTTTAGCTATCTGTTTTTTTTTCCTAGGTGCCCTTGAACTTCAGTGACGCTTCGGTCCATTTCAATGAGCAGGAATGGAGGAAGCTGGAAGAGTGGCAGAGAGAGCTTTATAGAACGGTCATGAGGAGCAACTACGACATGCTGGTCTCCTTGGGTGAGGACTTTGATCTCATGTCTATACACTGACTGAGTACACTGACTCTCTGGGGGTTGCTGAACCGGCTCTCTGGTGTCCTAACAACCTGTCTCCTTTCCGATGGTACAGATCATGCCATTTCCAAGCCTGATATCCTGTCCCAGATGGACCAAGGGGAGGAAGTCCGCATGGAGGAGTCAGAAGTCTTGGAGAATAGGGAGATACCTAAAGATCCCAGCTGCACCAGTATGTTAATGGCACTGACAGACGAAGCTTTCTTATTTCTAAATGGTCTTTCCAGTTTATTGCTGGATTTGTTGTTTGTGGGAAGAGAAAGAGCAATCCACACCACTTCCTGGACTGCAGTTTCCTTATATCTGCTGCTTTCTTACATCAGGGCCTCAGCTTGTATTTTACTTCATTATTATTATTACTTCATTATTGACTGTTTACTTTCCAATTGCTGCAGACTATGGACTTAGATATGTTGGTGCACATGCATTGAGAGACAGAAGGCATAATAAAAATAAGTGCCCCTTGTTCAGGAGAATACCCTGTGCTTCTGATGGAATGGACAATCACAGAACCTGACAGCATAATACATTTTTTGATCTGTTGCATTCTTGGTGCTGTCCAGGCTTGTTTCTTCCGATCATTTCGTGGACCCAACTAGATAACGTTATCAGTTCTAGAAGGGAGGAGAGTATGGGAGGATGATTGTGGAATGCTTGGTGCTCTCTGAGCATTTTTTCTTGCAGACGTTTCATGACCCAACTAGAGTACATCATCAGTGCTAAAAGGGAATGGGGTTCGCTCTCTGTTTATATACAGTAATATGCCTTGCAGTGTCAGAAGTGGGAGGGGTTTTGCCCTTTGTACTTCTTCAATTAGGAAAAACCAGACCCCTCCTACCGACAGTGATTGGGGAAGCTTCCCTATACAGGGAGTCCTCTCTTAGGACGGACCTCTTCAGAGCTACTTCCAGTTTGGTTCTGGAGTCCCAATGGCTCTGCCTTCCCTGTGATCACACGAGATCTTATTTTAGACGCTTGGCAACCAGCTTGCATTTATGGTGATTTTGGGGTGTTTTTTTTTGTTGGTTTCCAGTGTTTACTCCTGAAAAGTGCCCATTGAGTAAAATGTATTTGTTTCATGACTGAGGCATTTGCAATGTGATTATGGTATTTACTTAAGAGCTGCTTCAAAAGAAAAAAAAGACTGCAAAATCAGGACGGGCCACATAGTGACCTGCTTAACGACACCACAATTTACGACCATAATTCCAGGCTCAATTATGATCGTAAATTAAGGACTACTTGTGTAAACAGAGAAAACGTTTCCAATACCAATGATTTCACCTAGTCAGATTAATTTCTGCAAGAAAACAACCAAGGACTAAACAATTCTTAGATGCATTCTCTTCTATTTGCTAACTTTAGTTGTTGTTGTCGTTTCCCTTCTCTGCATGCAGCTTCCCCGGTTGATGTGGCAGAGGTTTCTTCTGGAGATGGAGAGGCTGAGGAAGAAACTAATCTGTTTGTTGATGTGGCAGATGCTTCTTCTGGGGATGGAGAGGCTGAGGAAGAAACTAATCTGTTTGTTGACGTAGCAGATGCTTCTTCTGGGGATGGAGAAGCGGAAGAAAGTAACCTGTTCGTCAATCAGGAGAATTGCTATGAAATGAGCTTCATTGATAGCGCTGGCCTTGGTGAGTTTTTCCCCCGTAATATTTGCCCGCTGAGCCTCAGCCATCAACCCACATCCTTTTGCAGTGTATTGTAACAAATCGTACACAAATCCACTTATGATGTGGCAAGTTTACCGGATCCTGTCCCCAAAGCTGGTAATTTGTATTCATGTGTTGACCTGCCAGGTGGCCAAGATCAAATTATGAAATTTGTCATCGGATATGACAATAGCCACCACTTAGTTATTTCTAAAAGATTGGAGAAATGAATGGAGGACCTGATGACCGACGGCTGCCCACTGATGCCATATTTTTGGTAACAACTATCAGACAACAATGGAAGAAGGCTGTCATTCTTTTGTCTGCGTGCTTGCAAGCTTCCAAGAGATACTTGCCGTTTTGCTGTATTTTTCAATGTATAAGACACACTTTCTTTCCCCAAAAGTGGATGGAAATGTCTGTGCATCTCATACAGCAAATGTTGACAAAACCCCGCCCACCCACCAGTCCACACCCTTCAGCCTTTGCCTCCTTGCAACAAACAGCAAACAGCCTTGTCAGCCCGTTTTTGGCCCATTCCAGGTGGCGGGGATCAGAATGGGCTGAAAACGGCACACACAGAGGCCAAAAACGATGTGGAGGTAGCAATAGGCAGTGGTGATCCCTGTAGCCTGAAACAGCTAATCGTCCGGATCCCAGCCAGCTGACAATCAGCTGCTTGTGCTAATCAGGCCATGTGCTGAAGCTGACCAAGCTGTTTCCTGTTTACTGCAAGGAGGCAAATTGCTAAGAGGCAGAGTTTTTTCTTGTTTTCCTCCACAAAAGTTAGGTGCATCCAGGGATGGGATCCGACTGGTATAACTACCGGATCTATCTATTAGCGTCACATGCACGAATCACGCAAGTCGTGTAAGTGCAATTTACAACCTGCTGAGCTGCCCAGACAGCTGAGCAGTGCTGCATGCAAGTGCACAGCCTTTGAAAAGCCTCTTTTTTCCTGCTTTTTCAACCGCAGCTGTGTCACGCAAAGCAGCTGCAGTTGAAAAGGCAGGAAATAAAGGTGAGGTAAGAACCCAGGCAGGGGGTGGGCCACAACAGCAGCAGACATAGAACCGGTTCTATGCCTGCTGCTCCTCAGAACTGCTGGTTCTACAGAGGTGGACAGAACAGGTAGAAACCCATCCCTGGGTGCATCTTCTACTTTGTGGCGTCTTATAGTCTGAAAAATACGGTAGTTGTTAGCTGGATCCAGTCTTCGTGTACGTTGTTATACCTGCTTTGCTTCTTGATCAGATGGAAGAATATGCTAACATTTTCTTTCTTGCTTGGCCAGGCAGACATGTTTTTATCAAGTAATGATTTATCATGCTTTTAAAAATATTTGGTCTTTACCAATTTGTCTACCACATAGTCCTGCTTTTAGGTCATAATCTTACTAGAGGTATGACTTTATACAGATCTATTTCTTCCTTAAGCATTTAGGCCAAACTGTAGTGGAGGCAGCTCTTTTAGAGTCTTGAGGTAGGAAATCTAATTTGATCCCAGAATATCATAGTAATATATTTTATGCACATTGGTACTAGATAAACTACATTATCTCAAATAGAAAGGTATTGTTTAATTCCCGGTTGAAATCATTTGAGGTCTAATTCTCTTTATTTCATAAAGAATATCAGATCGTTCGTCATAATATCAAGGAAGAAAAAGAAGAGCTCCATATTAAGGAGGAACCATGGTCTCCTGGAAGCCCCGGCAGTGATGAATGTGAGTGTAATAATAAAGTGGACATTTTTGGTATTCCTGGGAATCTTGAGTGGAATATTCCGGGAATTTGAATTGCTGTCCGTTACTGCCTGACATACTCATATGTGATTACTTTGAAATTGATTTGCCATTTTCTTCATAGTGTTCTATTTTAAAGATGTGGAGTGGGAGGACAAAGAATGGCTTGAAAAGTGATGCTTTGGCATTTCAGACATTTAATTTAAATTGTGGCAGGGAAGAAAGTGGAGCCTACAAGCATTTCAAGCTACTTTGGTTTCTACTGAGAGCTCGTGGAAGACCTTCTGCCTGCTGCACTGGGGTCTGGGGAGGTGGAACAGAGTATAACTTTCTGATTTGTATCTCTTTTGCACAGATCCTCCTGCTGCAGTCACCATTAAACAAGAAGAGGAATTGTGTGTCGATCAGGGGGGTTTGGCTTCACTTGGTGAGTGCTGGATAATAATGGCAAAGTACAGCAATTTAGCATAACCAGGCTTTCCTAAAATTGAAAGAGTATTTAGTCTTTAATGATGTAGAGAATGAATTCCACGTGGTAAGTATAACATTTTTTTGGTTACATACCTTGAAAACATTGTTAAGCCCAAATAGATACTGTGTTTCCCCAGAAATAAGACCCAACCAGAAAATAAGCCCCAGCATGACTTTTTTAGGATGCTCGTAATATACGTCCTATCCCAAAAATAAGCCCGTTAAGATAATCAGCCAGATGGACTCATTTAATATCTCCGTTGCAACGCACAACAGACGTATTGATCAAATATAAAATAATATATAATTAAACAGAAAATAATAATATTGACATTAATACTTAAAATGATAATATAAATTATAATTAAGTATTTGTAAATACACAAGTGGGTGCCTTTGGATGAGAGGTGAACACCTAACGTAAAAAGATGAAGTCACGACTTATTGCCAAATGACCAATCAGTGTACTGACACATGCACATGTGTTGTAATGGACATAGTTAATGCATTCGTGTGAAATAAATGTTTTCTAAATTTTCGTGCCTGCAATTTTTCATCACTTTTGTGTGAAGCATCATTCTTAACTGTCATTTTTGTTGCCACTCCTGTCTCGTAAGTCTTCAATTAAAACTTGATTTAATGTAGGCATATTAAACACAAGGCCTGCAGGCCAGATGGGCCCATATCTGGTCCATGGGGCTGCCCTGGAGATAATGAGGACTGGCCACTGCGGCCCCAGCCCAGCTCGGCCATCCATCCGCCTATTGCACACATAGGCGGTGAGCACACAGGGACCGACGGTATCCGGCAGCAGCTGCAGCCCGCCAGCCCCTTGGCTGATGCACTCAGGCTGCGCAGCCCGCACAGCACAAGTGAGTGAGTGCTGTGACCGCCAGGCCTGCCCTCCAAGCAGCAGGTGGCTGCCCGCTTACTCTGTCCCACTGTCGGTCTTTGCTTACCTGCAACTGTGATGAGGCAGGCAGCCACGCCTCCCCCAAGGGCAATCACAATGCTGATATAGCCCTCAATGAAATTGAGTTTTTCGACACCCCTGACTTAATGGTAGATTTAAAAGGAATAATATTTTCACCCCCAGACAAGATGAGTGCAAAAAGAAAGAGCTATTCCGTCGAGTTCAAGAAAGGGATCGTGGAAGACTCTTGGGGCAAGAATCTTACCGCTTTTTGCAATGAGAAGAAGTTGGATCTCCGAATGGTCCGAAAATGGCGAGCAGAGTACAATAACCTCACTCAACAGTTGGACAAGGGAAATGCTAAGAAGCGCAAGTGTGGATCAGGTCGGCAGCCATTATTTCCTGAACTGGAAGACATCATCTGTGAATGGATTGCTGACAGGAGAGCAAAAGCTTTGGTTGTGCGCAGGGCTGATATTCAAGCATTTGCTCTTGCAATGGCACCACACTTAGAAATATCCCCAGAATTCAAAGCATCACAACGCTGGCTGGATGACTTCCTCCAGCGATATGAACTGTCTCTAAGAAAATCGACAACACTATTCAAGCTGGAAAATACTGAACTTATTAAACGTGCACTTGCATTCAAGTCCTTTGTTGATAGCATCAACTTTTCTAAATACCAACCCTCCAACATGATTGCTATGGATGAAACTGCAGTGTTTATGGGCCAAGGATCTCAAATGACAATTGATCAGAGGGATGCCTCATCAATCTACTTTCCCTCCACTGGTTACGAAAGTGCACGTATTACGTGTATTTTGGCAATTCGTCTGAATGGAAAGAAAGCCCCACCTCTAATCATTACTAAGGGCAAGAAAAATAAGATTGAATGCGTTTCAGGCATTTACGTTCTTGAAACCAAAAAACCCTGGTGCACACAAGCAGTTATAAGGGAGTGGGTCGATTTAATGCTACCACTTGTTTTGCGAGGTGGTCAGAGAGGTCTGCTAGTCTGGGATTCAGCCAGCACTCACCGCTCTAAAGACATGAAGAATTTCCTTGCAGAGAGAAGAATAGATCAAATAATGATTCCTGCAGGAATGACTGCCTATCTCCAGACTCTTGATATTGCAATAAGCAAGCCATTCAAGGACCATTTGCACATGGAAATCAATGACTACATTGAAAATAGAATGGAGAGAAATCAGCATGGACACTTTGTGAAGCCTAGCCTGCCAGAGGTTGTGACTTGGGTGAAGAATGCATGGGATAAAATCACTGACAGCTGTGTTGCCAATGCACTACGAGCAGGCTACTTGGACAAGAAGTGCTCATTTAAGGAGAGCTCTATTGCTGGACATGACAGGTTGGGGCCAATGGTTCTACAGGAAATGGAGTCACAAGAAATTCAGGCTGGAATTAAAGGTTTGGAGAGTTATGACGACGTTCCAGAAGAAGATGACATGACTATATTTGAATAAATGTAGATTGGTGTACATCAGGAGTGTCAAACTCGATTTCATTGAGGGCCGCATCAGCATCGTGGTTGCCCTTAGGGGGAGTGGGGGGCATGGTCAGTTCATAAACAAAGACAGACAGTGGGACAGAGTGGGTGGGTGCCTGCTGCTTGGAGGGCTGGCCCATTGGTCACAGCGCTCGGACTCACCTGCCCTCCATGGGTTGCACAGTGCCAGCGGGCTACAGCTGCTGTCGGACACTATCGGTTACTATACACTTGCTGCCTCCTGTGCATGCACCGGAGGGCTGTTCTGGGGCTGAAGGGGTTAGATCCTTGCCAACTCTGGGGCACCCCTTCAGGCCAAATATAAGCCCATCTGGCCCACTGGCCTTGTGTTTGACATGGCTGTTATAAATGAAAGAAAAAGACATCACCTGAAAATAAGCCTTTTTCCTCCCTTTCGGAGGAAAAATTAATATAAATTCTGGTCTTATTTTGGGGGAAACATTAGTAGTCCTTGGATTATGACCTTGTTGAGCGACTGCTTGAAGTTACCGGACACTGAGCAAGTGGTACTTAGCCTGGTCCTTGAAATTCTAGCTGTTGCAGCATCTCGTGGTGACACAATCTCCTTTGGAAAGCTTCTTTGCTGGCTTCCCACAAGCAAAGTCAATGGGGAAGCCGGCAGGGAAGGTCACAGTTTGTATCTTTAAGTCACTCCTGCCACATTTCTCCTGAGAAGCCCCATTATGGAGATCCCAGGGATCTTGTACTCCATAGCATTCCAAGCACATGCCCATCTGCAGCACCCCTCCGCCCACCTGTCTGCCTGTGATCCCCATCAACCCACTCATGCTCCCAATCTGTGGCACCCATGCTGTCCCCCACCTGTCCTTGCCTGTGTCTCCCACCTCTTCCCACTTAACTGTGCAGTCCTGGAGTAACAGTGGCAATCAGGACTGCTGGGATTGCTGTTATTTAATAATTTGGTCAAGTGATGTTACAATTTATCATTTAGTGACGAGAATTCCAGTCTCAATCGTTACAACCCAGGGAGTACCTGTAATAAATGTTTTCATTGCAAGTGATTTTAGTCTGTTATTTGTCCTTAGGATAAGGATGAATTGTAGAACATCTTCTTTTCAGACTTTGATTTCTAAACTGGAATCTTTTGAATTGTGGATAGGGATTTTTTTTCCCCTTAAGAGTGGTTCCTTTTTGCCTTAGCTGGGCACTCAGTGCTACTACAGTCTGTTGAAGAAGAAGAGGGACAGAAGACTCCAACATCCTTGATGGCCTGTAGGAATGCTCTTCTGCATGATGCCACAGATGACCCTGAGCAGAAAGAAGCATATGCAAAAGGATGCCTTGTTCAATGTGGCAGATGCACTAAGAACTCTACACACCAGGAGACCTTGACTGATCACCAGTATAGCCGCAAACGAAAATTCCAGTGCACAGAATGCAACAGAAGTTTTGCTTTTGAGGGACAGCTGTCCCAACACTTGCTAATACATGTACCTGGGACTCAGTACCATTGTACTGAATGTAATTTGTGTTTTTCAAGCCAGAAGGCGCTTACTGTGCATGAGCGTGTTCATGCATTGGACTGGCCGCTGCACTGTTCTGCATGCAACAGGACATTTTTGGACACGGCAGCATTTGACCAGCACCAACTATCTCATGCTCCAGGCCAGGTTTGCCGGTGCGTGGAGTGTAGCGTTTACTTTACCGATCCAGCAGCTTTGGCAGAACACAAGAGAATGCACTCAGAAGATTGGCCTTTCCGGTGTGCTCAGTGCGACCGAACTTTTGTCCATGAGGGTTTACTGTTGGAACATCTTCAGAATCATAGCCGGACAAGGAGTCGCCGCTGCCATATCTGTGGTTCATGGCTGTCCTACAAGGGGTTGCTGAAGCATACTGGGGCCCAGTTGTACCACTGCAAGAAGTGTAATACTTCTTGCCAGGTTCAGGGGTCCGACTCAGTGACTATGAGTGTTAAAAATGCAAAGAAGCCAGGCAAAGGTAGTTCTTAGCCCTCATTAGGCTGTATACTGAGTCAGACGCAAAGATTATTTTTGTGGATTCCTCTTCTTTAAGGCAGTTGAGAAAAGTGAAGGAATGCACTTGGATATATGGTGATAGCATGGAAGTCTTCCTAATTGGATTTGTCCAGAAAGGGTGTTGTTGCTGTGGAATAAGACCTCCTGCTCCTTTTAGCAATGGAATGTAGAGGATGCTTTTAACTTCTTACCTGCAGTCTCTTAATCTCCCTCACTACATCCAAATTTGATTTTTCTTGTGATCAGGTGGGCAGTTTTCTTCTTTTGACCATTGAATAAGTGTTGGAAATTGCAACCTCTTGCATTGTGTAAGGGCTGCTTTGCTATCTGTAAAATAGGTTTGCTTCTTAGGCATGCATTGGAGAGGAGCTTGTGGCAATTGGACTGCTGTTTTTGCCATCCACTTATCCAAATCACTTTTTTGTTTTCACTCTCAAGTCCCCTGCTGTAGAAGATTCTTATCACTTGTCTATCAGGACTTTCTCGTGATAGATAACCATAGTCATTGTAGAAAGAATATTCCGAAAAGTTTCACAATGGTCAGGCAGTAAATGGTTGAAAAACAAGCTGCAAGCTAAATCTGGATATATAATCTCTGAAATATTTTCTGATTTCGCTATTGCACATTTATACTCAGTATTCTTCCTATGCTATGTTTCAACTTTCCTTGGTCTGAGCTTTTCCATATGTGTTAGACAACAGCAAAGTGGGCTGGATGTATGTGATGTAATCCAACATATCCTGAGGATTTCAGGTTGCAGAAGGTGGCTTTATTTTTTTACTCCACATCAGGAAGAATATATTAGTGTTTTCACTTCTGGAGTTGTTATATTTTTTTTCCTGAAGCAGTCACTAAGAGGTTTCAATTTATTGTATACTAAAAGATTATCCTGTGTGCTCATGATTTCCCCTCATGATTTCCTTTGCTCTTGATCCATTAATTTTCCTAAAAGCTGTTCCTCATTTGAGAAATAAACCAAACTATACTTTTTCCAGGTTGATGGTGGGTTGGTTGATTCGACTGAAGAAGCTACTTTATCAGTCAACTTGCCTCCATCAAGTACTTCATCGCTCTTGTGAATGTTTTTAATAGTTGCTTCGTCATTAAATGGTTACTTCCCTCCAAAATATCGGGTTTGGATTTTGTGGTATTTTTATATATCTTCCTAATTTAGAACTTTATTTTATTTTAGTCCTGTGGCCTGTTCAAGGTGCTAAACTTACTGGCCTCAAATTCTGTTGGAGTTCTGCCAACAAAATCTTAGCAGTTTGTATTATCAACTGCTCTAGTTCTGGGTAACAGCAATGCTGGCAGATAGAAACATAGAAACTACAGAAAAAGATCGAGTAGTCCATTGAGTCCACCTTTTTGAGTTTTTTGTTGTTTTTGTTTCAATATATTTGGTTTTTTAACTGTTTTTATTATTTATTGTCGGGTATTATCTCAAGCATGTTTAAATTCAGTTACTGACAATTGGCCCACTACCTCTGTTGGTAGTTGGTTCCAAGCTTCCACTACTATTTCCATGGAATAATCCTTTCTAACATTAGTTTTAAACTTCCCTCCTGTCAATTTATGCCCTTCTTGATTTTTGCTTAATATTGTAAACGCTGCCTCTTACAACTCTATTCACAGCCTTAGTATATTTAAAAGTTTCAATCCTGTATCCCCTTTCTCTTTTGTCCTCCAGCCTGTACATGTTCAGTTCCTCCAGTCTCTCCAGTAGTTTTGTCCCTCAGACCATGCAACGTTTTTCTTAGTGACACTGTGCTGACAAGGTGTTTCAGAATAAAAATTCATTTATTTCTTCTGTGGATCTTTTGATGAAAGGCAGACCTGATTTCCAATATTTGGAAGGCCATGAATTGGGATTAGTTTGGTTAAATTAATTTTAGGTGTGATCCCTCTGCAGTCATAATTAATTCAGAAAAAGACAAAATACCTGCATGCCACTTGAGATTATGCTCAGAAAGACTGAGGGAAGCAAAAGAGGAAAGACAAGATGGTTGGAGAAGCCTTGAAAGAGCTACATTATTATAGTTTTTCTCTTACCACTGGTTGCATAGCGACCATTCAAAGTTCTGATAGACCTACCCTGGGGGGGGCACTCATGACTCAGACTTTGTTAGATGGTCTCACAACACCTGCATCACATCACACTTAGGGCACTTGGCAGCTGGATTGCGCTAATGGCCATTTGCAGCAGCCACATGATCACATTTTATGCTGCTTTCATCAAAAATTTACTTCTGGTTTTTGACAAAACCATGGCCATAGCGAACCACTGGTTTGTTTAACAACCACAGTGGTTTTTTAACCACCACCATAAAATCACATGACTGTTCCATTTTAAAATAGTCATGGATTTGTCATAACTTAAGGACTTCACGTATCCTGGAAAACTTCACCTTCCTAGGCCTACCATGAATCAAGCAAATGCAGAACTGTCTGATGTTAATTCTTTCAAACGTCTTCTGTCCAAATCCTTGAATATGAACACGTCTGTGATGCTCATCCTGGGTCAAATATTTATTTCCCTCCAAGTGACTGGCAGTTGAGGAATGCCAAGGAGTTGGTGGTGTTTACACTGTCCACCTGGACCATGAGATGTGTGGCAAATAAATAAGATTGGGTAGGATAGGATAAAATGGATGGGTAGATGAACAGGATGGTTGAATAGCATAGATCAGGGTTGTCAAACCTGTGGCCCACAGGCCAGATGCATTATGTGCTGGCACCCCCACCCCCATTTTAGCAAAGGAAAGTTGCGATACGACACGTCGTGTGATGATGTGTCACGAATTTGACACCCCTGGCATAAATAGATGAATGGATAGCATAGGATTTGGGTGGATAAAGTGGATAAACATGGATTGGTGGATTGATAGAAGAGAGGAGATGTATGATGATAGACAGACAGTAGATAGACAAACAGACAGACCAAATGTTCCCAAATGGGACTTTTGAAAAGAATCCCTCCTGGGTGGGAGGCATATCTTAAATGGCCATGGAGTCATTGTGGAACCTTCCCCCGCCCCCCTTTTTTTTCTTGATGGAAGCTGTGTGGACAGCCAAGGGAAAGAGCCTGCCTGGCCCTCCCAGTCCCACTCTCACCACCCTCCATGTTCATGGCCTGTCAGGGCCCCCTCTCCCTTGCCTACGGATGATGGGCTCGTGAGCCCGAGATGCCCGTCATTCAATCAGAAAAGCCAAGGAGGGTGGGGAGAGAGATGGAAAGAGAAAGAAAATGAGAGGGAAAGAGGGAGAGGGAGAGCAAAAGGGGTGGGAGAGAAAGCTGGAAAGAGGGAGAAGAGTGGGAGAAAGAGCAAGAGGGAGAAAGGGAAAGAAAGCAAGAGAAGGAAAGGGAGAGAAAAAGGAAGAGATGGAAAGGGAGGAGGAAGGGAAAGCAATAGCACTTATATACCTTAAAGCGCTTCACAGTGCTTTTACAGCCCTCCCTAAGTGGTTTACAGAGTCAGCCCTTTGCCCCCACCAATCTGGGTCCTCCTTTTACCCACCTCGGAAGGATGGAAGGCTGAGTCTACCTTGAGCCTGGTGAGATTCAAATTGCAGGCAGCCGGCAGTCAGCAGAAGTAGCCTGCAGTACTCCATTCTGACCACTGTGCCACCGTGGTCCAGTGAGATAGAACAAGAGGGAAAGAGAAAGCGAGAAAGGGATGGAGGCAGGTGGGGAAAAGGGAGAAAGAAGGAAAGCAAGAGGGAAAGGGAAATAAAACAGGCAAAAGGGAGAGAAACAGAATAAGGGAGGGAAAGGAAAAAAGGGAGAGACGGAGAAAGGAAGTGAGAAGGAGGGAAACGAAAGGGGGGAAAGGGAGTAAGGGAAAGAGTAATAGGGAAAGAAAAGGAAAGGGAGAGATAGAAAGCAAGAGGGAAAGGGAGAGAGAGAGAGAGACAGATGGGAAGTGGGAGAAAGGGAAAGCAATAGGGAAGGAGAGAAAAAAGGGAAAGCAAGCAAGAGCGAAGGAGACTGAGAAAAATAAAGACCAGGAAAGGGGAAGCAAGGGGGAAAGAGGATGAGAGCAAAAGAGGGGAATGGAGAGAAATACAGAAAGAAAGTGGGAAAGGGGGGGAAACGAAAGGGGGAAGAGAGGGAAAAAGAAGGAAAGAGTAGGGAAAGGAGGAGGCAGCAAGAGGGAAAGGGAGAAAGGGAGGGAGAGACATGGAAAGAAAGGGAGCAAGAGGGCAAGAAAGGGAGAAAGGGAAAGAAAGAAGGAAAGGGAAAGATAGAAAGGGAGAAAAGGGGTAAGAGGGAGAGAAAGGGAAAGAAAGTGAGCAAGAGGGCAAGAAAGGGAGAAAGGGAAAGAAAGAAAGAAAGAAAGAAAGAAAGAAAGAAAGAAAGAAAGAAAGAAAGAAAGAAAAAGAAAGAAAGAAAAAGAAAGAAAGAAAGAAAAAGAAAGAAAGAAAGGGAAAGATAGAAAGGGAGAAAAGGGGTAAGAGGGAGAGAAAGGGAAAGAAAGTGAGCAAGAGGGCAAGAAAGGGAGAAAGGGAAAGAAAGAAGGAAAGAAAGGGAAAGATAGAAAGGGAGAAAAGGGGTAAGAGGGAGAGAAAGGGAAAGAAAAAGAAGGAAAGAAAGGGAAAGGGGAGAGAGAAAAAGAACAAGGGAGAGAGAGAAAAACAGAAAGAGCAAGAGACACAGAGAGAAAATCAAAGCCATCTTTTCCCCCCCCTTTTTTTCCTTCCCCGCCTCAG